ACAGGGCTGGGGTGGTAGTTCATTCAGTGGCAGAGACTTGCCGAGCACATGTGAGAAACTGGGTTCAATCTTGAGCACCACAGAAAAATGTGAATAAAATAAAGGCATTCTGTCCATCTCCAACTACCAAAAAATTAAAAAACTAACTGCAGGATGCAGGGTTAAGGGGACAGAATTAGGATCCACTGAGACATATTTTGCAGAACTGAGGTTGGAATCAAATTAAACCTTGAGGAGGATGGTTATGGGGCCTTCTTTGGTTTATGGTACATCAGTAGGAAAAGCTGTCCAGAAAGCCCTAGTGGAAGTTAAGGGGAGATCTAGATTTGGCCCCATCTTCACCCCCCACTCTCTCCTTTGCTACACCCCTCTCCCCTCATCCCCACCCATTGCCACCCACAGGTAGGTCAGCAGCTCCTACCTGAACAAGGTGGGTGGGCCAGATAAGGAATGATCTGGAACCACCGTCCCACTTACTCAAACCCATCCCCACAGCTCCCTCTTCAGTCCCACCCTCCACCAGACAGGAAATCATCCTACGGTATTTTAAGATTCCCAGACTGTTTTTTTTTTTTTTTTTTAGTTGTAGATGGACACCAGTATCTTTTGTATATATTTTTATGTGGTGCTGAGGATCGAACCCAGTGCCTCACACATGGGAAGCACTCTACCACTGAGCTACAACCCCAGTCCCCAGACTATTATTTCTGTTGAAAGTTCTACCGTTCCAATTTGTTAAACTTCATGTGCATACAGCTGGGCACCTGTACTCCCAGCTATTCCAGAGTGGGGAGAATCACTTAAGCCCAGGATGTTCAAGACCAGCTTGGGCAACAAAGTAAGTTCTTGTCTCAAGAAAAAAGAATATCTGTGCATGTGTGTGTGTGTTTGTGTGTACACAGGTATTATTTTAGCTTTTTAATAAACAATAAAATGATAAGCAAAATAATGGAAAAGGAGTTTATTAAGAATTTTGCATCTATGTTCATCCTTATGATATTAGTCTGAAGCTTTCTTTCCTAGATTGTCTTTGTCTGGTTTTGATATCAGGGTGATATTAGCTTTATGAGTTTGGAAGGGTTCCCTCCTTTTTGATTTCATGGAATAATTGGAGAAGTGTTAGTGTAGTTCTTCTTTGAAGGTCTGGTAGAACTTAGCTGACCATCCACCTGGTCCTGGGATTTTCTTTGTTGGTAGGCTTTTGATGGCATCTTCAATTTCATTGCTTGAAATTGAACTGGTTATATTTCTATGTTCTCCTATTTCAAAATCCTGGCATATTGCATATAAAAACATATTAAAAAGATAGTGCACCACGATGAAGTGGGGTTCATTCCAGGGATGAAAGGTTGCTTCAGTATACGGAAATCAGCAAATATAATTCATCACATAATCACATTTAAAGACAAGAACCATATAATTATCTCAATAGATGCAGAAAAAGCATCTGAAAAACTTCAGCACCCCTTCATGTTCAAAACACTAGAAAAACTAGGGAGATTAGGAACATACCTCAACATTGTAAAAGCCATCTATGTTAAGCCCAAGGCCAACATCATTCTAAATGGAGAAAAATCTAAAGCATTTCTTCTAAAAACTGGAACAAGATAGGGATGCCCTCTTTCACCACTTCTATTCAACATAGTCCTTGAAACTCTAGCCAGAGCAATTAGACAAAAGAAAGAAATTAAAGGGATACAATAGGAAAAGAAGAGCTCAAACTATCCTTATTTTCCAATTACATGATTCTATATTTAGAAGACCCCAAAAAAAACTGTATTGAAAGACTTCTTGAACTCATAAACGATTCAGCAAAGTGGCAGGATATGAAATGAACACAAATCAGTTGCATGCCTATACACCCATGACACATCAGTGCAAAGAGAAGTCAGGAAAACTATTCCATTTAAAATAGCCTCAAAAAAATACCTGGAATCAAGCTAACAAAAGAGGTAAAGACCTCTACAAAGAAAACTACAAAACACTGAAGAAAGAAACTGAAGATCTTAGAAAATGGAAAGACCACCTCCCATATTCTTGGATAGGCACAATTAATATTGTCAAAATGGCCATACTACCAAAAGCACTATACAGATTTAATGCAATTCCCATTTAAATTCTGACGTTCTTCATAGAAATAGAAAAAGCAGTCATAAAATTCATTTGGAAAAATAAAATAGCCAAAGTAATCCTTAGCGAGAAAAGTGCAGCAGGAGGCATCACAATACCAGACTTTAAATCATACTACAGAGCTATAGTAACAAAATGGCAGGGTATTGGCACCAAAACAGATGACCAATGGAACAGAATAGAAGACAGAGACATACCCACATAAATACAGTTATCTCATACTCGACAAAGGCACCATAAACATACATTGGACAAAAGATAGTCTCTTCAGCAAATGGTGCTGGGAAAACTGGAAATCCATAAGTAGTAGACTGAAATTGAACTCACCCTACACAAAAACTCAAAGTGAATCAAGGACTTTGGTATTAGACTAGAAACCCAGCACCTACTAGAAGAAAAAATAGGCCCAACCCTCCATCATGTTGGTTCAGGAACATACTTTCTCAATAAGACTCCTAAAGCGCAAGAAGTAAAATCAAGAATCAATAAATGGGATGTTTTTCTTCATAGCAAAGGAAATAATCAAGATCATGAACATAGAGCCTACATAATGGAAGGAAAATCTTTGCCACTTTCACCTCAGATACAGCATTAATCTCCAGGATATATAAAGAACTCAAAAAACACACCACAAAAAAAATAAATAAATAAATAACCCAATCAATAAATGGGCAAAGGAACTAAGTAGACACTTCACAGAAGAAGAAATACAAGGGTCAAAAATTTATTTAAAAATGTTCAACATCTCTAGCAATTAAAAATGCAAATTAAAACTACACTGAGATTCTCTCTCTCTATGAGATTGGCAATTATTAGAATACAAGTAGTAATGTTAGTGAGGATGTGGGGGAAAATGTTCACTCATACATTGCTGGTGGGACTATAAATTGGTGCAACCACTCTGATTCCTTAGAAAACTTGGAATAGAACCACCATTTGACCCAGTTATCCTGTTCCTTGGTTTATACTCAAAGAACTTAAAATCAGCATACTACTGTGACACAGTCACATCAATGTTATAGAAGTTCAATTCACAATAGCCAACCTATGAAATCAACCTAGGTACCCTCAACAGACGAATGCATAAAGAAAATGTGGTATATATACACAATGGAATATTACTCAGCCATAAAGAAGAATAAAATTGTGGCATTTGCGGGTAAATGGATGGAACTGGAAAATATCATGTTAAGTAAAATAACTGTGTTCCAAAACATCCAAAGGCCTGGGGCTGGGGTTGTAGATCAGTGGTAGAGTGCCTGCCTTGCACGCGTGAGTTCTTGGGTTCTATCCTCAGCACCACATAAAATAAATAAATAATTAAAGATATTGTGTCCATCTACAACTAAAAAACAAAAACAAAGGTCAAATGTTCTCTCTGATACGTGGATGCTAACCCTTAACAAGGAAGGGTAGGAAGGGGAAGTATAAAAAGGGGAAAGAAGGGAAGGAAGGGGGTGAGAATAGGAAGACAGTGGAATGAACTGGACCTAACTTTCCCACGCTCATATATGATACACACCCAGTGTAAAACCACATCATGTACAACCCCAAGAATGGATCAGAATGGGAACACGTTGATTCCACGTAGGTATAATATGTCAAAATATACCCCACTTTCATGTATATCTAAATTCAACAAATAAAAAGATAAAAAAAAATTTTCATTCTAAGATGCACACAAAAAAAGAATATATGTGATAACATAAAAGATCTCCAAGATACATAACATGGCCCATTTTGGGTACACACATAAGAAAAACCACAATTTTTCAAAATCACCTTGTTTACCTGGAGTGAAACCACACGGAGGGGACAAAGTGCCTTCAAGGAAGAAGGCCTAAAGTGGGGACATTCAGGCAATAAAGTAGCCAGCCTCCCCTGTCCCCCCCCAGCTCACATTCTCCAATTTAAAGGGGGGGGGGGCAAACAGGCCCCAAAAGAGGAACTCCCCCAGCCCACCTCTGCAGCTGGAGGAGGACACTACTTCCACCCATCTCCCTCCCAGCCACACCCAGCCAACACCCATTTTTATTGTTCCCCCAGCCTCCCTCAGCAGCCTCCCAGTCCCGCCTCACCTGAGCCCAGACACACAGACAGAGGCCAGCACCAGCCTTTATTGGGGAAGAGGCGCACCGACACCCACCCAGCCAGGACTGCTCCTCCTGTGCTCCAGGCCAGGGAGGAAGAAAAGCAGGACACAGAGGGCTGTGAGGGCCCCGGGAGCGTCACAAGCCGCAGGATGTCAGCCTCTCCTGGCTGCCAGGACGAACCTCCTGGAGTCACTAATGAAGCTCCAGACAAATCAGGACAAGTAGGGCACCGAGGCCTCTGCAAGGGGAAGAGAGATCAAGTCACCACGGTGCCTCCGGCCCCAGCCACCCACCGTGTCCTCCCTCCACCCTCAAGAACCGTGGCAGACACTGCTCTCAAAAGTGGACATGGCTACCTGCTTCCTAAATAACCCAACTGCAGACTCTGGTCACACAGAAGTCCACCTTGTATCTCCTGTCATCAAAAAGAGGAGCTATGCCTATTCCCTTATCCACTGTCCCTCAGCCCCCACTACCCAATCACATACACCGTGCCCACCCTTTCACTTCCCTAACAATCACACCGCCTGTCTGGCATACTGTCTGCGCTAGCCCCACCTTGACACACCCAGATCACACCCCATCTCTACCGTACCCACCTTAACACCTACAAGCCCGTACTGACCACAGCAGTTTCGCTCGGTGACACAGGATCTTTCTCCCTGACCAGAGCCATCTGAGCCTTCAGCAGTCCCCTTCCCAGGACCTAAGCTGCTCTTTGCACATGGCGGTTAAGTCCATTACCTTGATATTGGTTGTTGAGGGGACTGTTCTCACCTAATTCAGATCAGACCTGAGGGTCCTGTTGAAGTTCAAGGACTTTTGGGGTGGCGGGACCGGTGGGACACAGAAACGGCCGCATCCTGACTTGCAGCACTTCTCCCCAGCTTGACAGTTCTCATCCATCATGCATTCGACGATACACAGGCCTACCAGAAAGGTGGGACAATTCCCAGCCCGCCCTGGGGGGAAAAGGACAGGTCAAGAGACAGGGCATTGGCTCCACTGTCCCCAGGTTCCATCTAGAACTTAAGACACGGGGACTCCCAGTGAGTTGGCTCTTGACCCCTAACTAGGTTTTAACCAATCTGGCTGGAAGCCATGAAGCTAGAGTATCTGAGAACCTTAGGCACCCAAAGACTCTGAGCCAAGAGTTTTCAAATAGTGTCCCAAAGAAACCCCCTGGAGTCACTCAGGGGTTGGTGGCTAGGCAGGTTTGGGGTAGGGACAAGTGGACTGCAGGAGGACAGGCTCCCCTCTGTCATGCTTGGGCTTGGGGGCGTCACTTTCTTGTCTGCCGCCCCTGATGAGGGGCGGTGCGCTGCGGCGCACTTCTGAAGCACCCGTCCCGCCTCTTCTCGTCAGACTTTATTGTTCAGATGGTCCCCAGCTCAAGACGGTTTGAATGAAGGATCTCAACTTTAGGATGGTGAAAAGATGTACCTACTCAGTAGAAACCACACTTCAGATGTTGGATATTTACCTTTCCCAGACTACTTATAAGCAGTACACTATTCTTGCAAGGCTGGGCAACTCAGCCACAGGAGGTGGACACAGAACAGAACCTCTACCGTGGGCCATGACAGTGCCGAGCTAGAAGGTTTTGTAGGGTTGGGGTACTAAATGCACTTTCTACTTATGATGTGTTTTTTGGGTGTGAGCCCATCATTAAATCAAGGAATATCTGTAATTCCTTGTTTAATTATCTGTATTCCCTGACAAGTTACATGCCACAGAAGGACAAAAGGCCAACACTTGGAGCAATTCCTGGGAATCCCAAGGGACTAAACAAATCTGGGCCAATGGTTCTGAAGTGGAGTTCCACAGTACACAAAAGGAGCGCTTGAAAACACACACTAGCTTTTTTGTAATATTGAAAAACCAAAGGAATTGGAACAGGAATACCCACCCGGGGCCCTGTGGCCCTGGAAGGAAGGGTTGCCTTAGGCTGCCGCCTGGGGCATAGGAAAGTGACAGCTCTGGCTCCTCCCAGGAGGGAGAGCAAAGGCAGCCAGGGAGGGCTGCGTCTCAGGTTGATTCTGCAACCCAGGGAGCACCTCAGAACTTCTTCCCACAAGAGCCAACATCCATCCCTAGATTCCTTATAGTGGAACCACCATTTGACCCAGCTATCCCACTCCTCGGCTCAAACCTAAAGGACTTAAAAACAGCATACTACAGTAACACAGCCACATCAATGTTTACAGCAGCTCAATTCACAATAGCCAAGAACCAACCCAGGTGCCCTTCAACAAATGAATGGATAAAGAAAATGTAGTATATACACACAATGGAATATTACTCAGCCTTAAAGAAAACTGATATTATGGCATTTGTGAGTAAATGGATGAAAATGGATAACATCATGTTAAGTGAAATGAGCCAGTCCCAAAAAACCAAAGGCCAAATGTTCTCTCAGATATGTGGGAGCTAACACATAACAAGGGAGAGTGGGAGGGGGAGTATTTAAGTTCTTTGGATTAGACAAAGGGGAAAGAAAGGAAGGGAGGGGAATGGGAATAGGAAAGACAGTAGAATGAACTGGACATAACTTTCCTATGCTCATATATGAGTACACAACCAGTGTAACTCCACATAATGTACAACCACAAGAATGGAATCAAAATCATAATGGGCTGGACACAGTGTGCAAGCCTATAATCCTAGCAGCTCAGGAGGCTGAGGCAGGAGGATTATAAGTTCAAAGCCAGCCTCAGCAAAAGTGAGGTGCTAAGCAACTCAGTGAGACCCTGTCTCTAAATAAAATACAAAATAAGACTGGGGATGTGGCTCAGTGGTCAAGTGCTCCTGAGTTCAATCTCCATACTCCCATCCCAAAAATTGTAACAGGCTGCATTCCATGTATGTATAATATGTCAAAATATATCCTAGTGTCATATACGTCTAAAAACAACAGATAAAAAATAAATTAAAAGAAAACAGACCTCCCTTGATGTCTCCACGGCAGGTGTGGCCACAGCCGGTGCTGCAGCATTTATGCCCCAGAGGACACGCCGCATCCCCATCACACTGCTCCTCACAGGGAAGGGGGTCGTCGGGACATTCACCATCAAACCCTGCCAGAGAATCAAGCATTGAAATCCAGAGGCTCTCAAGTCCCAAGTGTGAAACACACATTTCATTGTGTCATATGTTGACACATACATATATGTATATATGTACATACTTACACATGTCCTGTATGCCATGTGCCCTGATGTTTCATATTATTTCTATTCTTCTTTTTCATGCTGGCCATAAACTGATTTTAGCACTCACAGTCTGAAAACCCCTGTTCAGCTCTAAACCACTAGAGTCATTCTGCCTTCTTTCATACTGCGGAAGACATTCACACTACATCTCCTGGCACTCATGCCCGGGTAAAGCCAGTCCATAGTCACTCTGAACCAAGGCTTACTTCCACCAATGGGACATTCACAAGAGTGATACAAGCAGAGACTTAATAAACACTACATTGGGACTTGTCCTCTTGGAACCCTTCTTGGAAACCAGCTGCCATTCTGGAAAGCAGCTTGAGCTAGACTGTGAAATGAGGAGACCCCCATGGACAGAGAAGCTGGGGTGGAGAAGCCATCCTGGACATGCCAGCTGCACTCAAGTGCCCTGCATGGGTGACCTCAGCCTCCCATGTGTGTAGGTGAACCCCCCAGCTAAGCCCCAGTCAATCCCGTGAGACAGAATAAGCTGTTACTACTTTGGGCCACTACATTTAGAGATGGTTTGTTACACTGCAATATATAAGTGAAACACTCCTTAATAGAACCCCATGTTTGTCCTGAGAGGCAATAAATCCACTAAAATGATTCACTTCTCCGTATTCTCTGGAAGTAGGGGTGACCAAATTAAAACGTAAATTAGAGAAACTTGTGCATTTCTGATACAAATTATCCCCTCATTCTTCCTTCTTCCAGTCCAAAGACAGACCATGTGGAAAGGGAGAACAGCCTTCTTCAAGACCAGGAGGCAACTAGCAAGAGGACACAATCAGGAATTGCCAGGGAGAATGAGAGAAATAACTCTATCTTGTTTGTACCACAGAGCCACCAGACCAGCCCTGGTAACTACTTCAGGATTTCTCATTGTGTGAGGACAAGGAACCCTGCTCTACTGAATCTTCTGTGGTGGGTAGCTAAACATATTCCAGAGGTTCCCCCTCAACATCGCTGTGAAGATAATGATATCCGGAGGAGAGAATGAGGCTTTCCCAGAATGACAGCTAAGAGTAACAAAATTCAGCCTCTTCATTTGCAATGAAGTACTTTCTGTGACACCATCCTTAAAACACGCAGTCAACTAAGCCAGTCCTCAGGAGCTGGCACACCCAAAGAAGGCCTCATCCAAGCCAAACCAACTCACCATGACGCATTTGTCCTAGGGTTTATTCCAGGGTTTTGTTTTCTTTTTTTAAATGGAGAGAGAGAGGTGACAGGCAATTAATGGCTTCCTAGAAAACCAAACCAGGAGCAGCCCAGTGCCTCTGCATAGCAACAGGTAAGTGTGCCTGCATTGGGTGACCCCAGGAAGTCTGCCGCGGGGAGAAGAGCAAGGGCTGGACTCCAGGGAGCACAACTGCAGCTAAACAGCCAGGCTGTCTGATCTCCCCCTGGGATTTTCCAAATGTTTCATGCCATTGTGAAGTCAGTCAAGACTGTGTCCTGAGTTTTTATTCAGAAAATGTGGTCACTGGAACCACCTGACACACCTCCCACACCTCCTCATCTGCTTGACCAACACTCAAGTTCCATTTAAACAAAGAACAAAAGACTTTTATCCCACAGTTGAGAGGGCTGAGTATAAAAATCTCCCTGGTGGAAAAACCCAGTGACACAGACTTCTCGGAGTTATACCATGAACCCTAGGGAGAGGGGCCGAGAGCACCTATTTCCCAGATTTCACCATTGTGCTGAGCAAGGTTCTGATGTGGCCAATGCCAAGAGCATCTCTGCTCTCTATCCTCATTCCCAGGACAATGCAGAGAGGCCCTATCTCTACTCCCTTCCTTGCTGGATATCCTTGAGGTCCCTGGGATTTTGCCAGATTTTAGAAGCCATACAGGTCCTGAGGGTCACAGCATACCCCTTTGACTTGGTGCCCGGCAATAATGTCACCCTGACTTTCGCTCAAATACCTGCCAAATAATTCCTTTCTTTCAGCTCAAACATCTGGAATTAATGGGGCCTTCCTTCCTCTTTTTGTCTTTTTTTTCTGTTATTGTTTGTTTGTTTGTTTGGTTGCTTGGTACTAGGGATAGAACCCAGGGATGCTCAACCACTGAGTCACAACCCCAGCCCTTTTTATTTTGTATTTTGTATTTTGAGATAGCATCTTGCTAAGTTGTTTAGGGCCTCACTAAATGGCTGAGGCTGACTTTGAACTTTCAATCCTCCTGCCTCAGCTTTCCAAGTCACTGGAATGACAGCATGTGTCACCGCCACTAGTAGACTACGTCATTCTTATACTCCAGCAAGGCAGTCTTTATCGTCCTTTATACTCACCTGGAATCCAGTTCTTTCGAAATTCTATCCACTGGTTCTTTTTCTATTACCAGGACCTTTCAAAAACATGCCTCCTTCATCTCTTGGATAAGATCCTCTGCCTTTCACTTGGTCGGGCTAGGTAAGCTCAGTTCCTCAAAAAGCATTGGTTCCCCATCACCTCTTAATGATCTTATGAGGAATCAGGATGAGAAATAAGAATGGCAGCCCAAAACTGGGATGGCCACCCAATCCCTGCATCTGTACCTCTCCCAAGACCCCAAGGGATCACACAAAAAAGTAGTAAGCAGAAGTCCAGAAAATGCAGGCTTACTGCCGCCTCACCCCAACTCCCACTCTGACTTCACCTCTACTTTCTTCCAGAAGGATGCCAATTTTTGTCATAAAAGTGAAATTTCAGAACATCTTAAGCCAAGAAAGGCCCTCTGAGCTATCAAACCTACTCCCCTTTTCTTGCAATCTGAGGTCAGTAGCAGCAGAACGAGGTCCCATTGATGGCAGGCACCAGGTCTTATGTCTTTTGAACCACATAATTTTCCCCTACCCTTCAGTAAGGATCACTCAAAAAATAATCAACCAACACTGAGACCCACTCTAATACTGCCAAAAGAGAAGATCCAGAGGCTGACAATTTTAGGGCTTTGGAAAAGTTATAAACCAGCATGTCAGGAGCCCTCAAGACCACTCACAGCCTCAGTGATTCCTCAGAGGACTTAGCATATAGTCATACTCATGGCTGTGATTTATTAGAGCAAAAGAATACAAAGCAAAATCACCAAAGAGAAAAGGTACATGGGACAAGTCACAAGGAAGCCAGACAGGTTTCTAAGAGTCCTCTTTCAGGGGAATCACACAGGATGCACTTGATTCCTCTAGTAGACAATTGTGACAATGTATGTGAAGTGTCGTCTCCCAGGAAAACTCATTCGAGATTCAGTGGGCACAGTTTTACTGCAGGCTGGTCATGTAGGCACCCTCTGCCCAGCACATACCAAAGTCACACTCCTGGAAAGAAAAGCAGGTATTCATCCTAAGCCACATTGCTTGCACAAACAGTCTGGGCACAATGAGCCACTGTTATCAATTAGGAAGGTAGCAACACTCCCAAAATCCAATTTCCCAGAAGCCAGCCAAGGGCCAGTCTTGCCAGCAGACTTTTCTAAGAACAGCAGTCTCCATCTTGCTGTACTAACTCTGCTTTGTACAACCTGAAGTGGGGATTTAGAAGAAGGTCGGCCAGCCAGGCATGGTGGCACAAGCCTGTAATCCCAGCAGCCCTGGAGGCTGAGGCAGGAGGATCGTGAGTTCAAAAGCCAGCCTCAGCAACTTAGGCCCTAAGCAACTCAGTGAGACCCTGTCTCTAAATAAAATACAAAAAAGGGCTAGGGATGTGGCTCTGTGGTTAAGTGTCCCTGCAATACCCAGTACCAAAAAGAAAGAGAGAGAGAAAGAGGTCAGCCAGACACAAGAGGAGCCCAAGCCATCAACCCATACAAAGGACATAACACGCGTGTGTTATAATAAACAAAGCAGGCTCACAGGGGATCTGGAGTGATCCAGTTTCATTCACTGCAGAGGTGAGCCATGAAGAGCCCACAAAGACAACTCCTGGACCTTAATCTTAACCTTTTCTACGAAGTCTCTTCCTCCCCAGGTTCTCCCATCTCAGTCTAGAGCACAATTATCCCCTCATTGCTCAAGCCTGACTTAACATCGTTCTTGACACGCCCTTTCCAGAGCCCCTCACTGCTTTAGTAGTGCTGTCAACTCGATCTTCAAAAGGACTCCAAGTTTTCTGAGGAATCTCCATACTGCTTTCCATAATGGTTGTACCAGTTTGCAGTCCCATCCTCAGACCAGAACTGAGGCAAGTCCCAGAGTCTACCCATGCCCTCGGGCAACCTGACTGCCCCTCCACCTTGCCAAACATTCTGGCACTACCCATGCTAAACCTCTGGCAATGTCAGAGCTTAAGGAAAGCAGGAATTTTTCTTAGCCCAGGAAGAAGAGTTTCCTAGCAAACAGTCCCACTGGGTGAGTAGCCAGCCCTTCCCAGGAATGGAGCTGCAGAAAAATAGTTAACTAACAGACAATCTCACCTACCAGGCTGGGGACCCTGCTCAGTCAGCAGGCTCTGAGACAGTGTCAGATCACCATTCTGACCTGCCTGCCTAGCTCCAGGGGGGAAGGAAACCCTTTGGGCCAGCCAGGGCCAGAGCAGCTCACAAAGGTACTGTGCTGGAATGCCAGCCTCGCTCTCAGCCCCGCAATTCAGCTCTCAGCCTCAGACACTGGGAAGATTGAACCAGAACCTATGAGCTGCAGTGAGTGACCCGCCTGAGACAGATTCCCAGGCTTTGATTCCAGAGCTGAGCCTCAAGAGTCCAGGCAAGGAGTACAACCTTCTATTCTCTCATACAGGCAGGCTGCCCAAGACGGCTACCTGAGCCAGGCACAAACAGCCCTGTGGACACGGGGAAGGCATCTGCTACCTGTGGAGGCTTGGCTGAAAGGAAATGTCATGTGCTATGCAGCTTCAGAGTCTCTGAGAGGAGGTGATGGGGAAGGAGAAATTGATCCTGGTTCTGGGTAAAAAGGACAGGTTAGACACTGTACTCCTGACTGGGCCCCCTTTCAATGCCAGGAAGAAGAAATCCACTGTACATTAAGGGCCAAACATCTTAAACAACCTTCCAGGGTTTATTCTTTCTATCTTACAATAAAAGAACTGAGGCTCAGAGAAACAGAAGAGACTCGCCCAGGGACCTGCTGGCCAGTAGCTGGTGAACATCAGGCCTGATCCCAGGCCCCTGACATCCCAGACCTGTGCTTTCCACTCTAACATGCTGCCACATGCACTCAGTGAGAGGATGGCTCTAGCTCCTTCAGGAAATAGAAGACCCCGTATTTCAGACAGCAGAGATGCCTAGGTGTAAACTTATTGATAAATATTTTAAAACTACGAAACAACATGAAGTATACCAAGCACACTCGAACAATAGGAAGAGATAAAGATTCAATATTGTAATAGTTAAGTTAATTTATATAACTAGCATCACTTCAATAAAGTGTCCTTATACATAGGCAATAAATTAAAAGTGGCCTTATAAGTAGGTATGATAAATAAGCAGTATAATAATAAAATATACTGGGAAGCACAAACAAGCAGAAGTAGAGGAGAATCCTAAAAGAACAGGAAAATAAAAAGGGGGACTAGACATGGAAGATGTGCCTAATTTCTAATACCTTTTAGGAGCCTCTCAAGGGCCTGGTGAAGGAGTTGAAGAATACAGCAGAAAGCTGTCACTTCAACCTCCACAGTCCGACTGCCACCTCCATAATGTCAAAGGTCTCCATCCTCGGCTGGCTTCATTCCCCCCCTTTCTGTCTCTATGCCAACCACACCAGCTTGTTTTCACTTTCTTAAATGGGCGATTCCTTGTCATCTGAAGACCTCACCACCTGTGTCTCACTCTTCCTACCATATCTATCACCTCTTCACCTGGCTGACTTCGGCTCCTTCTCCAGGCTGCAGCCAGGGCATGGTGGTGAACGTCCGCAGTCCCACTGACTTTGAGGCTCAGCAAGAGGACTGCAAGTTCAAGACCAGCCTCAGCAACAAGATCCTGTCTCAAATTTTAAAATAAATAAATAAATAAATAGGGCTGGGAATGTAGTTCCTGGATTCGATTCCCAGTATCAAAAAAGCAAACAAACAAAAACAGTCACTACCTCAGACACACCTTCCTCGACTCCTCCTCCAAAGCCAGTCCCCTCATTATTCTTTCTCTCAGAGCCTTATCACAGTTGGGCATTATGTATTTTACTTACATGCTTGTTTGTTAATAATCTCTTTCTTTCTCCCCTACTAGGTGATAAACCCCATAAACGCATGGACAGAACTACTTTGTTCATTATCACATACCCAGAACCCATCACTGGATCTGATAAATAGAAAGCATTTAATAAAATTTGTTGAAGGAATGAATGCATAAATGGAGAAATAGAACCCTGTAAGAGGGAAATTTTTCTTTCAAATATCTCTCTACCAGAACCAGAATAAACAAGAATCCATTTTCAACAGGAGATGGCCATCTCCTATGAGTGCACAGAAGGGGTAGAGTCTCAGAAGCAAATGATTGGGGTCTTTCAAATAAGCACTGGATTCTATTTCACTATCTCTTTACATATTCTTGAGCTAAGGTTTTAATAGGGAATATTGCAACTGGTAATTGGGAATTACCCAATAGCTTTCAAACCTGCCTACAAATAATAGGCCCCCATCGCCCTTCTGGCACCTTCCTCGCCTAGCTGGGCCACATCCTACCAATCATCATGGCTTCAGTACCATTTGCATATCTTTTTCTTAAAGTTCTCATAATAGGCACTTAATCATTGTTTCTCAAAGTGATGTAAGAGTGCCCCAGGGTGCGGGGGTGGGACGTCTTACCCAGCTTGTAGTGAGAGACTGGGGCCACACAGGCTGTGCTGCAGCCAAACGTACAGCACTTCTTTACACCTGGACATGTGTCATCGGTGGTGCAACTTTTAAAACAGGATCGTTTACGAACAATCCCGGGACAGATTCTTTTCATCCCTGTAAAGAAATAGAGATGGCAACAGGAAGGAGATATGGTGCCCTGTAACACCTAGAAGTACAGCGTAAAGGAGAAGCAGAGGAAGGGAGCCCCCAGGTGTCACTAAAGCCACCAACAATAGTCAACACTTATGAAAACATCTATTGATATTCACCTTTTACCAGGAACAACACATTTGATTCTCACAATTATCTCTATTTTACAAATGAGGAAACTGAAGATGCGATTGAGAATGTAGCTCAGTGGTAGAAAGAATGCTTTGCATGTGCAAGTCCATGAATTCAGTCCCCAACACACACACACACACACACACACACACACACAAAGAACCTTAAGATTTTAAAGTTTGTTTAAGGCTTAAGAAGGTCTGTCTGCTCCTAAGAGAAATCACTATCTTAAACAGGCTCCCCTTCAGAACTCTGCCCCTCTTGTGACTTACAGGAACTCAGTCCAAAGTAAAAGACATTGACAATCAGTGGTGTGCTCTTTCCTGATAGAAGGCAAAGAACTGGAGTACTGAATAATAAAGAAAGGACTCCTGGCTGGGGACGTAGCTCGGTGGCAGAGCACTTGCCTAGCATGCACAAAGCCCTGGGCTCAACCCCCCATGCCAAAAAAAAAAAAAAAAAAAGACAAATCAACTTATGAGGAAAGGAGACCCCCCAAAAAAGGAAAAATAAGAAGTTCTTTAGGCAAGTTAGATAGCAAGAGCCAATCTGAGAAGCAGGGAGCTCTTGGTTTTATCCATCCCAAAGGCAAGGCCAGAGAGCATACTGGTATTGTGTCCTCCATGCCAACATACCTATGGGAATGTATTCTCGGCAGACCTGACCACAGCCCGTGCTGCAGCACTTCTGCCCAGGAGGACATGACTCATCCTCCTGGCACAGCTCTTTACACGGGTTCTTATCAGGAGGGCATTCTCCCTCTTTCACTGCAAAAGAGAACAAAGGAAGTTGGGATACCTGATTAGGCCTTGAGAAATGAGGAATGGAGCCCAAAAGTGCTTCAAGAACTTCAGCATCTCCAAGCATTCCTATCCAAAATATCTCAGCACCCAGCTTCTCCTCCTCCCACACAACTACTAACTCCCTTTCACCACTCCTAAAGCACCAGCTGTGCTGCACATACAGAGCTGGGGTGATCCTGGTGGTCTCATTTAATGAGCTCTAAAGAATAACTGGAACTTCTAGTAAGTCCTGTCTCCTTGTTCAGAGAAGGAAAAGAAAGCCAAGAAGATTTACTCTTACTGTCCTAAGAATCTATTTATCCAGTCCTGTCCTACAGAGATGATTGTCTCCACAAAAGAGGAACCTCACACTGGGAGGAGGCAGGGGAGACTTCTCCTCTAGTCACTTTGTTATGTTAGCCAGGGATCCCAAATGATAGCTCACCATGCTCTTCTGCTGTTACCCAGGATGCCAGGAACCCAAAAGCTAGAAGTGCCTTCAGAAGAAAGAGGTAGCTTAACATCCTGATGATGCTGAGGTTGAGATGTGAGCCCATTTCAGGCCAGAGGTGAACACCTTGCCCAGAGTATCAACCAAAGAAAGGGCAGGACCAGAGAATCTACCTCAACCCAGTCCCAAAGTCTTCCCTTATGCAATACTGCCCAAGAATGTCTTCTCCTGACAACAAGAAGAGTGATTGGTTGGTGATGTGTGGGAAAATTCCTGGCACTACCACATAGGGCACATGTGATGGGGTGATCAAATTCTGTAATGCAACTTCACACAGTACCCCTAGACAACAGTGAGGATTCTAGTGGGAAGCTGGAAAAATGGAGGGAGAGTCATTGGATAGAGGATGAAGAGAGCCTCCAGGCCTTTCGAAGGACTCGGGTGAAATGACAAAGGGAAGGACTAGAGGCACGACTTATAAGAGAACAGCCAAGCTAAGCAAATAACAAAGTTTACCAACATTGTAGTTCCTGCTCATCAGAGCAATCTAGAAGAGACAGAATGAAATGGCCCCTTAGAAACTATCAAAAAAAAAAAAAACTATAGAGCAGCACTACTTGAGTTTGTTCAAAGCTAATGCGAATGCACCAAAACCCTACATTTTGGCTAGTTGGTAAACTCAAGAGAAGAGTTGCTATGACTCACAGCACATATGCCCCCTTCCCCTATCTCTTCTTCCTCTGTTTTTATTTTATCTGTCTTGCTTGTGTATTTGGTCAGCTGTGATACCTAGTGGTGTCCACTGGCACGGCTTAGCACTGTAGGGCTAAAGTGAGGGAACATTAAAAGTACAAGGTAAAAATCTCCTTAATACAGCCAAAGAGTTTGGTGCAAGAAAGTTGCCCTTAATGTTAAAAGGCTGATGTTGGAGCAACGAAATAATTAAAACTTGTTTAATATCTAGTATGTACTTCATATACATTATTTATTTTAATTCACACAATAATCTTGCAAAGGTAAGAAACTTGATATAAAAGCCAGGTATGGTGGTGCGTACCTGTAATCCCAGCTACCCAGGAGGCTGAGGCAGGAGGATCTCATGTCCAAGACCAGTTAGGGCAACTTAGTGAGACCTTGCCTCAAATTAGAAAATAAAAAGGACTGGAGATGAAGTACCCAGTATAAAAAGAAGGAAGAAAGAAGGAAGGAAAAATTGACTCAGAGAGGCTGGAAAGAATGTCAATAAATGGTAGCCTCTGGAACATTGGAACAGTAACAGTATTATTTGAAGGGCTAGTTGTACCATAGTTCTAAGCACTTTGTATTGGGGGTGGGATGTGGATCAGTGGTAGAGTGCTTGGCTGGCATACATGATGCTCTGGATTTGATCCCCAATACCAGGGGGGTAAAATTAAGTGGTTTGTAAGAATTAACTCATTACTCCTCATTACAACCCTCTAAGGCAGGTGCTATTATTCCCACTTTACAGTTGAAAAACTAAGACAGAGTTTAAGAAAGTGGGTCACACAGCTAGTAGGTGGTAGAACAAAAGTAGGTAGTCCAATTCCATATCCAATATTTTTTGGAGGATGGGGGGCGATACTGGGGACTGGACTCAGAGGCACTCTGCCACAGGGCCACATTCCCAGCTCTATTTTTTTTTTTTTTAAGAGACAGGGTCGCCTGGCCTTTGCTTAAGTTGGCTTTGAACTCGCGATTCTCCTGTCCCAGTCTCCTGAGCCGCTGGGATTACAGGCCTGTGCCACTGCCCCCCGCCCATATCCAATATTCTTAACCACCATACCACATCACATTTGAACCCTGATCTTTCTGACTGCAGAACTCCTGCACTTTCTACTACCCGATATTGTGATCTGGCAAGAGTCATTTTCATTACCACCCATAAATGAATCTAGTTCTATTCCGGGACATCTTACCTCTGAGACAGAGCTATGGGGGGGGGGGGGGGGCTGGGGAATGACACAGTTAAGCCCATCCTCCCAGCTCATCCCAGAACCACTCCTCCGGGAAGAGAAGCCCAGCTCTCTGCGGCAAGGGAGGCTCACAGAGCAAGACCCAACCTTCATTCTGCTGCCCTGGAGACAGCCCTGAGGTCAGAGCGTGGAGAGAGGCGGTGCGTGTTTGGGATGGCACAGGCCACGCTTTCCCATGTGGGGTTTCTGGTCCACGCATTAGGTCCCTCCAATTTTGGAGGCTCCTGCTGGGATATATTAGAAGCTGTAGCCCGCGCGGTGGCGAACGCCTGTCATCCCAGCAGCTTGGGAGGACAGCGAGTTCCAAACCAGCCTCAGCCAGAGCAAGGCTCTAAGCAACTCAGTGAGACCCTGTCTCTAAATAAAATACCAAATAGGGCTGGGGGTGCGGCTCGGTGGGAAAGTGTCCCCGAGTTCAATCCCCAGTACCTGACACCCCCCCCCAAAAAAAAAGCTGTAGTGTTCAAAGACCCAACTGCAGGTGTCACCGTCGGACCGTGCGTCCCCTCAGCTCCCAACCTCAGCCCGCGGACACCTGCTCCACTCCTCCTACCCCGCACTCGTCCGGGGCCTTGGCCCAGCGGGGAAAGGCCCTGAGACACCCACAGTCCCCGCGGAGGCTCAGCGCTCCAGGGAGGGAGCCCCAACCGCCCACACGCAGGGTCTCCGAGGGCCAGCGACCCGGGTGGCGGTTCGGTTCCCATGGTAACCCCGCAGCTGCCGGCGTCGCGCTTTCCGGGCCAGTGGGCGGCGCGCTCCGGTGACGTCACGGCGCCACTTTCCGGCCGGTGGCAGAGTCGGGCTGAAGTTGTTGGGGTCGGGGGCGCCATGGGGGCCACTGGCGACGCCGAGCAGCCGCGGGGACCCGGCGGGGCTGAGCGGGGCGGCACCGAGCTGGGTGACGCGGGCGCAGCGGGGCAGCTGGTTCTCATGGTGAGGGCGCCCCGGGTGAGGCCTGGGCTCGGGCTGGGCAGGGCCTCGGGCTCCCAGGACCCTGGTCCGCGGGCGAGAGAACGCGGCGGCTGGTGCTGCCGAGGGGTTGCCGTTTTCGCAGTCGGACGACCTGGATTCGAGTTCTGGCGACGCCCTCCTGGCTAGGTGCTGAGGGCCAGCCTGGCATCCCCCCGAGCCCGGGCTTCTCTCCTGTAGGGCGGAGATGATTAGTCCCGGCGACCTCGTCAAGTCGTGGCGAGGGGATGGTAAAAGCCCTAACGCGCCCGGCAAAGCAGCCTGCCACCGAGTAGGCTCTGGGTGTTCCTCCTGCTGCTCCAGGAAAGGCGGCGCTGGGACTCTGAGGCAGGAAACTTTTTCTCGGTTCTTATTCCCTAGCAGCACCTTCCAATCACTGTCCTCCCCTTCTCCCCAAAGTGGGAGAGGGAGCGAATGGATCCGAGAAGGGATTTCTAGGCTAGCTTCATACTCATCCTCCACCACCCCAGTGTCACAGGCCTTAGTGACATTTGCTCCCTTGATTCCCACAGAACCCTTGGAACATAATGATAAAGCACCGGCAGGTGCAGCGAAGGGGCCGCCGCTCACAAATGACAACAAGGTAAGGCTGGCCCTTGTGGGACTTACATCCCAGGTACAGAGGTGGGCGAGAGTGTTGGGATCCCCACTGCACATGGCTGAGAAGAGATCTGTAGACAGTAGAAAGCACTGGCCTGGGAAAAAAGAGACTCATTCTCAACTCTGTGTACTTGAGCAAGTCACTGATGAATGACTTGCTCTGACTTCCCTCTCTGAACTCATCTAGAAATGGAGGGTAGAGAGGTGGATTTAACAACAGTATCCAAGATCCTTAACATTCATTGACGCTGCACTTGGGAGCTCTAAAGACGTCAGCATGGAGGTTAAAAACACAGGCTCTGGAGTCAGACAGCTGTGTTCTAATACAGACTCTGTATTAACTGAGTAACTCTTGGACAAGTCCCTAACTTCTCTGAACCTCTTTTTTCTCAGTCTTGCAGGGGGTCCAATAGTAATATCCAACTCAAGGAAGTGAGGGAGTGATTCACTCAAGGAAGTCATGGGCCTTAAGGATGCCATTTATAATTTTTAACCTGGGTAGTGATTGGTCATTCACCATAATTGTTTAAGTGTATGTATTTTTCTGTATAAATATTATATTTCACTTTGAAAATAATGCCCACTTTATTTTTATGAGAATGAAATAAAGTCAAGCATCCATGTGATCTTGCCCAGAATCTGAGCACATGACTAGTGTTTAGTGAAAGCTATCTAGTATTGCTGCTAAAGAATCCCATGTCGCTGGGCATGGTGGCACCCACCTGTAATCCCAGTAATTCAGGAGGCTGAGGCAGGATCATATGTTCAAAACCAGCCTCAGCAATCTAGCAAGACCCTGTCTCAAAACAAAAAATAAAAAAGGCTGGGGATGTGACTCAGTGGTTAAGCACTGCTGGGTTCAATCCTTGGTACCAAAAAAGAAGAAGAAGAAGAAGAAAGACGGAACCCTATGTCAATAATTGGCTGGGCACACTGGGAAAGGATATGTTTGGGCCACAGCTGCTGACTCTGTCTCCCTCCTAAATGCAGTTTCACAGATCCTGCCATCTCCATGGACCTCCTCCGAGCTGTCCTGCAGCCGAGCATCAATGAGGAGATCCAGACTGTCTTCAACAAGTATATGAAGGTGAGAAGGACAGAGAGAACACTCATGGGGAAAGACTCCTGAGCAGCCAGGGCTTCCCTGCAGCACTGCTCTCTGTCTGTATGGCACTCAGACATCTCAAGCTTTCTAATTCTGCCAGCTACCCCCCAAGAATTTTTTCCCCTCTTGGAGGTAATTCAGATATCTTTTTTGCCAAGTTTTTGTAAGGTAGAAATGACTTAAGTGTAATGTGCCCACCATCCTTGCTTGGAACATACCAAGTGTTCAACCAGTATTTTATTACTTGATTAACATTAGCACCATTTTTGTTAATTAAAATTACTTTCTTAGCCTATCAATAAACTTCTCCATAGCTCTATCTGCATATCCCATGGATGCTTCAAACTCAGTATATTCAAAACTGAACTCTGAATTTTTTTGAGCGGGGGGCTGGTACTAAAGATTTATTTTTTAAATTCTGAGACAAGGTCTCACTAGGTTGCCGAGGACCTCAGTAAGTTGCTGTGGCTGACCTTGAATTTATAATACTCCTGTCTCAGTCACTGGGCATACAGGCATGTGCCACCATGCCCTGCCAAACTCTGTTTTCTTCTCAAACCTTCTGCTTATGTATTTTGTTGTTGTTTGGGGGAAAAAAATTTTTTCCCAGCACATGCCAAGGCCCTGGATTTGATACCTAGAACCCATATATACACCAAATATATATATATATATATATATATATATATATATATATATATATATATTTAGCTACTACCATACTGCCAGACACTGTTCTAGGTATTAGGAATGTAGAGTGAAAATACAGACAGTAACCTTGTTTTCTTTAAGCAAATATGTACTACTTTAGGGAATGAGAGAAGAGAGGACCTCTGGGACATGGGGTTGCTTTTTTGTTTTATTTTTCAGAGGTGCTATGGATTGAACCCAGGGCCTTCTGCATGCTAAGCAAGTCCATCTTATTTTATTTTGAGATAGGGTCCTGCTAAGTTGCTGAGGCTGGCCTCAAATTTGGTGATCCTCTTGCTTCAGCCTCCCAAGTAGCTAGGATTACAGTCATGTGCCACAATGCCCAGCAAGATTGCTGTTGTATGTTTTGTAACTAAGAAAGAGAAGACATTTGAGTGGAAACCTGAATAAAGTGAGATGGGGCAAGCCATGCAGACAAGTAAGAGAAAAGTGGTCTAGGCACAGAGAAAACGACAGAGGCCCTGAGGCAGGAGTGTGCTTGGCACATTCAAAGCAATAAGTTGACCAGTGTGGAACAGACTAAACTGGGAGAGTAACAAAGTGCTTGGGAGGTAACAAGCCTAGCTCTAGTAAAACTTTTGAAGCCACAGTGAGGATTTTAGATTTTAGGCAGTTGTGGTGTTGCACACCGGTAATCCCAGGGAATTTCAGAGACTGGGGCAGAAGTATCGCAAGTTCAAGCTCAGCCTCAGAAACTTAGCAAGACCCTGCTTGAAAATAAAATAAAAAGGACCAGGGGGGTTGGGGTTGTGGCTCAGTGGTAGAGCGCTTACCTAGCATGCGTGAGGCACTGGGTTTGATACCCAGCACCATATAAAAAAACTAAATAAACAAAATAAAGGTATTAAAAAAAAAAGAAAAAAAGGCCTGGGAATGTAGCTCGGTGGCTACATTCAATCTCCAATATCAAAATTTAAAAAAAAATTTAATAATACAAATTATATAGATTACAAGATGATTTATGGATGGATAGATGAGTACATTAATAGATATGTGATGGAGAAACATAATGTTAATTGTAGTCTTCGGTGGTAGGTATTAGCTATTTATTAAATATTCAAATTTTCTATGTATTTGAAATTTTTTAATAAGAAAATACTAATTAAAATTATACAGCCATGTGTGGTGGTTCAGACCTGCAATTCCAGTACTTAGGAAGCTGAAGGAGAATGCTCACTTATTAAGAGTCAACGCGGGCAACTTTAAAAGGCTAGGGCTGTAACTCAAGTGGTAGAGTGCTTGCCTAACATGTGCCAGCCCCTGGGTTCAATCCCCAGTACCACATACACACACAAAGATACTTTTTAAAACAAGAGCCAAAAGTCACTAAAATTCATCCCAAAGATACCAAACTCGGTTTTTTACATGAGTATGTAGGTTGTGTACATGTTTATATACACATATACAAACTGTTCTGTAACTTAATTTATTTCACTTTTGGTCACGTTTTTAGGTCAGTGCTTCTCTTTGTAATAGTTGTAGAGTTGTCTGTTGTATGGATGTTCCATAATTTAATTAGCTAGTCCCTAGAATATTCAGTTGTTTCCAGTTTTTCCCTGTTTCATACAACACTGGAATGAACATCTTTGTTCACTTGTGAGACTATTTCTGGGGATAAATTCCTAGAGATGGAATTAGTGAGTAATAGGGAAAAAAGTCACTCTCCAAAAAGGGTGTGTTATTTTGCATTTCTGCCTGTGGTGCTTGCAGACGCTTCATTTGTGTTCTGATTTCTTTCTCAGATCCAGAGGTAGCTTACATTCACCCCTATATATCCATTGTACTGCTCTCCCACGGGCTGCTTGGAAAGCATCCAGATTATTTTAATTGAACTTTTCCCCTAGCAATAATCAGCATTGAACACCAATACTTATCGCCAGTTTTCAGATTTTTGTTTTAAAGTCAAACTCATCCATATTGAGAATATAGCTCAGTTGTAGAGTGGTTGCTTAGCAGATCCCCAGCACCAGAAAATCAGTCAGCCAAACATCCAGTCATTTAATTTGGCATGAAGAATTTTTCCTAAACACTTGAGGTCTCGGATTCAGTCTTTTCACACACTTCTTGATTTGATGTTATCAACAGAGGCATTTGACTTTGCTAAATATAACGTGGCAGTGTCTCCCCAGAATTGTCTCCCACAGTAGGAGCATTGATTATAGTTTTTTAAAGTTTTCCTATACCCCAGAGATAACTGGTACTTTCTCTGGAGTCACAACGTGGACTCCTAATGAATGTATTTTCGGGTACCTCCCAGGTATGTCTGGGGACCCTATCACCTTGTCCCCAGTGTTTTAGGAAGTATTTCAGACTCAAGTTCTCCCTCTAACCCAGAAGAGGAACCTTCTGCCAGGTTTCCCTTTCCTTTGCTGGTATCCAAGGGCCTTTGCAAGGTCACCCTTTCTCCCATCCCACAGATTGGGGATTGGGCAATGAGAATCCTAATAGGACTTTTCTGCTGTCTTGATCTTTTCTGTGCCTGTTCACTTTAGGCACAAGCTTTCTGGGTTTTTTCCTCCTATGGAAATACTACATGTACATTATAAAAATTAAGAGGCTATAGATAAGCAAAGAAGAAAACAATCATCCACAATATCACTGCTGTTACTTAATATATTATCCTTAAGTTCTTTTATCTCTGTTTTTTTGCTGTTGTACATAAATAAGCTTGTTCTATACCAAACTATTTTATAACCTGCTTGCTTTACTTGTCATTTTATTAAGAATACATTTTCATGTCAAAAATATATTTTACACTATCCTTACCATGATTTTTAATATTTGCATAGAATTTCATAATTTATTTAAGCTATGCTTGGACATTTAGGTTACTCTTTGGTTTTGTACTGTTTGCAGATTAATTTTTGGGGCACCTCTGTGATTATATCCTTAAGAGAGGAATAGTGGCGGGAGGTAGAGCCCAGAATACGAATCTAAATCTGTCTGATCCCAAAGCTGGGCACATGATCACATTTTCCTTCTGTATGAGAGCAGGATAAAAGCTTCTGTTTTATTTTTCAGTTTCCTTCAGGTTATCGTAAATTAGCAGAACTTCTGACCTTGTCCTCTGTTGTGCATCCCTAGTTCTTCCAGAAAGCAGCACTGAACGTGCGAGACAATGTTGGGGAAGAGGTGGATGCAGAGCAGCTGATCCAGGAGGCCTGTCGGAGCTGCCTTGAGCAGGTGAGACCAGAGGCCAAGACATGCGGGCACAGGGTTCAGCCCTCAGGGTTCTGCTAAGAAATGTGATCCTATCATCAGTGGTATGCCCAGAAAGCCACTTATCTCCAGGGCTTAGAAATGTTGTTGACATACAAGGCAAGAGAAGTAGGTACTAGGTGCCAGGTATAGTGATAGATGCATTATTTCATTTATGCCTCAGAAGAAACCCTGTTCATAAGGTTTTTTTTAATCTCTATTTTACAGATAAAGAAATTATGCTTAGCAAACTCATGGAAGCAGAGAGTACACTGGTGGTTACCAGGGAAGTAGGGAAATATTGGTTAAAGAGCACAGACTTTTGGACTGGAGTTGTGACTCAGTGGTAGAGTACTTACCTAGCATGTGTGAGGAACTGGGTTTGTTTCTCAGCACCACATAAAAATAAGTAAATAAAAATAAAAGTTCATCCGCAACCAAATATATATATATATATATATATATATATATTTTTTTTTTTTTAAAGAGAGAGCAAGCACAGACTTTCAATTTAGATATGATGTATATCAGCGTGAGTTGCTAATAGTACTTTATCGTGTGCTTGAAATTTACTAAGAGAGTATATCTTAAGTGTTCCACACAAAATACCTATATAGTGATGGATGTGTTGGTTATTTTAATTATGATCACTATTTCATAATATAGGTATATATACATCAAATAATCACATTGTCCACCTTGAATATGTAATAATTTCTGTTTGTCACTCATATCTCAATAAAGCTGAAAAAAAATCAAATTGGGCAAACCAAAAGAAGAAAAGTAAATTGTAACTTAAGACACAAGAATTAGACAGCTAAGATCTATCTCACCCCTGAGGGTGCTTGGTGGATCACCTTCAAGTTGTCGTAGTCCCTTTTGGGATCAGGAGAATATAGCACACTTGCTATCTCCCAGCCTCTCAGGTGTGGTCAGGAGGCATGACATCAGGTCTGTAAATGACTGTGTTCCCAAGACAATAGAGAACACCAGCTACTATTATTAATAGGAATTGTCAACATCACCCAGATTCTTTGCTTTACTGTGAAACTATTAGCTGTGAAAAATGGAAATTTCTTCATAATCAGAGCCATAAGGATTATTGTGAGTTCACTCCTATGAGGTAATTGTAGTGATATGAAAGAAAAATGCCTTCTAAAAGGCTGGCTGCCTACTCAGATGTAGCCTTAGAAAAAAGCAAGACCTCAGTTCTTGAAGGGCAGAACCCCATCCTATCTGTACAGTGAAAACCAATCTGGTTCTCGTGGGCAAGTGCTATGAGAAGTTCTGATAGTCAAGTTTAAGCTAACCAGATTCCTAAGAGGCCAGATTCATTAATTCACTCCATGACTTCGGTGTGTTATGATCATGTATAACAACCGCTAATAATAAGACAGAAATAATTTGTGTGTGTGTGTGTATGTATATATATATATATATATATATATATATTTTTTTTTTTTGGTACCAGAGGTTGAACTAAGGAACACCCAACCACTAAGCCACATCCCCAGGGTTGAACTAAGGAACACTCAACCACTAAGCCACATTCCCCAGCCTTATTTTGTATTTTATTTAGAGACAAGATCTTACTGAATTGCTTAGGGCCTCTCTAAATTGCTAAGACTGGCTTTGAACTTTCAATCCTCCTGCCTTAGCCTCCCAACCGCTGGGATTACAGGCATGCGCCACTGCACCTGGCTTGTTAATAATATTCTTATAAGTTGGAGTTGAATCAAGATTAGATTGATGCTAGGTGCTGTGGTACACACCTGTCCCACCAAGTCAGGAGACTGAGACCAGAGGATCCTGGGTTCAATCCCCAGTACCAAAAAAAAAGCTTAAATTGATAAAACATTTACTCATTTGCATCCCAAAATACTTTCTTGAGTTTATCTCTTTGACTGATATTATTGAGGGCCTACTGTGTACCCATTACTATGCTGCTATGCCAGGCCCCAACAGTGGTGTGCAAACAGGCATAGTCCTTACCCTTAAAACTCTTGACATTACTCAAGTAATCACACAGTGTATCTGTAGTTACAATCTGTTACAAGTGTGTAAGTATGGAGACAAGACCAGGGACCAAAGGGAATGCAGAATGCCTAAAAAACAGAAAGAAGCCAGGAAGGCTGGTTTAGAGGGTGGAGAGAGTGAAACATGGTAAACTGTAGAATCAGGCAGAGGCAGATTACACAGAGCATGAACCAAATTATAGATATGGAATTGTAACCAGAAAAGTGGCCTAATGAGATTTGCACTTTGAAAAGACTTCTCTGACTGCCTTAGGAGATTGGTTTGGAAGGGAATTTAGGAGACCTTTGAGAGGGGTTCAGGTAAAAGATGAACTTAAATTGGGCATAACTTGAATTCAATAAATGGTTATACCTTTCCAGTCTCCTGAATCCCCATGTTTACCCTCCAGAGCTTGCCCTTACCAGTACTGATAAGAAGCCAGAATATGGAATAGAAGGCTGTGTGGTCACCATAGACTCTGAGCACAGGGAGGTAAAAAGCCCAAAGAGTCTCATGCTCACCCAACAGGAAACGAGACAAAAAGAAACCTCAAGCAAGTCTTTAACCTTTCTGAGCTTCAATTTCCTCATCTTTAAAATTAAGAATAAAGCCACTCCCTACAGCCAGTAGTTTGCTGTGGGGATTAAATGGGATAATATACATAAACAAAGCATAAGTGCATGTGATGCAGAACAACTGGATATTAAATACATTGTTACATTCATAATTACAGAAAGTATTTCTAACATCAGAGCTTAGCTTTCAGATGGCCATCAGGATAGTTGGAAGGTCTTTAGGGTCCACTTGTCTAAACCATATGCGGAATTTCTTGTTACATTAGAGATTCTTCAGCCAGGCGGCAGTGGTACAGTCCTGTAATCCCAGGTACTTGGGAGGCTAAGGCAGGAGGATTGCAAGTTGGAGGCCAGCCAGGGCAATTTAGCAAGGCCCTGTCTCAAAATAAAAAGGGCTGGGGATATATCTCAGTAGTAAAGCACCCCTGGGTTCAATCCCCAGTACAAAAAAAACAGATTCTACAGATTCTAGACTGGACATGATGGTAATTAGACTAGGAATTTTTTAGCTTTGAGTGGATGAATTCTTGGCGTGTTTGCTTTGACTTCTAATACTACATCTGGACCATCTCTGCTAAGCTCCTTCACTATGCCCTTTCAGGTATTTCTTAGGAAGAAATGACTGATCTTATCTACCACATGTTGCCCTGAGTTTTTTGTTTGATGGTTTTTGTTTTGCAGGGTAGGTATTTTATATATACAGATTATATGCATTTATTAAGAAAAATTTGACATGGTGATTAAGACTATAAGCTTTCTCTTGATTTAAACTGCCCCAGTTGGAGTCCTTGACTAGTTGTATGACCTTAAGAAAGTTACCATACATTAATAATCTCAATTTTCTCATCTGCAAAATAGGGATAGAGGTTCTACCTCATAGGATTGTCTGAGGACTCAGTGTGCCAAAACTCCTAAAATATTTAGCTCAGTAATAAAACTTAGTAGATGTTACTTGTTACCTTAAACTCAGAAAACAAATTGTAAGGAAGAGCCAGGCACAGTGGTACACACCTGTTGAGAGCCACAGCCAAGTTGGAATGGCCCCTGGCATTTTGCCAGAAGTAATGGTTGAGAGGCGAGCCATTAAGATAATGCTGGATTGGATTGAAACAGGTTGTGTATTCAATTGTATATAGACCCCTGCTGTCCGCCTCAGGCGCCCGCTACTTTGGAGTTCTCACGGGGATTCCTGGGGATTCCTGGGGAGTTCCAGTGGGTTGGTGAAGTTCCGGTGGAGGGTGTTCCGGTTGGTGTGTGGTGTGCCTAGAAGGGATGAGCAGTGAGCCAGGAAGAACCTGAGGAGATGGAAGAGGCAAAAATACAGTAGGTGACATGCTTTCTTGGGAATACCAAGCAGAAAATGCAGGCACACCATACACCAACAGGAGCACCCTCCACCGGAACTTCACCAACCAACATGAACTCCCCAGGAATCCCCGTGAGAACTCCAAAGTAGCGGGCACCCAAGACCGACAGCAGGGGTCTATATACAATTGAATACACAACCTGTTTCAATCCAGCATCATCTTAATGGCTCACCTCTCAACCATTACTTCTGGCAAAATGCCAGGGGCCATTCCGACTCCACTGTGGTTCTCAGCACACACCAATAATCCCAGCTACTTGGGAGGCTGAGGCAAGAGGATCGTAAGTACAAGGCCAGCCTAGGCAACTTAGCAAGACCCTGTCTCAAAATAAAGTTTAGAAAGGGGTCAAGGATATAGCTCAGTGATAGAGTGCTTACCTAGCATGCAGGAAGCACTGGGTTTAGTCTCTACTCTCATAAATTTTAAAAATACATTTGAAAAATCTCACTACCCTGCAGTAACCACTAATAACATTTTCTGCTTTCTCCGGATCTTTTTCCTTTATGTGTCTTTATAATATGGCTTATTCATTGGGGCACTGGGGATACAGTGGTGAGTAAACAGACCACCCTGGAACCTGCAGTCCCTTCAGCTGCTACACCGTTTCTTTGTTCCCATTTCAAGCCACACTTCAAGAAAGGCTGTCAGCAAGCTGGGTGTGGTGGCACACACCTGTAATCCCAGCCACTCAGGAGGCTGAAGCAGGAAGATGACAAGTTTGAGGCTGAGGCTAGCCTGGGAAACTTCGTGAGACCCTGTCTAAAAAAAAAAGCGGGAGCTGTCAGCAATCACTGGCTCCCTTTCTCACCCACTGTCGTTCTCTGCTCGCTGTGTTTGGCTTGAGTTCTCACCACTTCACCAGGGAGCCTTTTAGCATACCCCGTGCTGTCATCCCTGTGGGTCCTAACTGTGCTCAGCTGACTCATGTGGCATTTGTCGCGTGGGCTCGTTTCATGTCTCTTGGAACATTCTCCACTCTTGGTTCATTTCCTTTTGTCCAGCCTCCGGCTAGTGCTTCCTGCCTCCCTGACTTGTAGCGCTGCTGCTTCCTGAGTTCCGTCCTCAGACCCTTTCTGTCCATTTGCTTCCTAAGATGAGTCCATCTAATCCTCTGGCTTTGAAGTCATTTGGACCGATGATGATTCACAGATTTATATCTCAGGCCTGCGCTGCATCCACTCTTACCTGCTTCTAGTCCCTTCTAGCAGCAGCAGACTAATCTCTGTAAAGATGAATCAGATCATTTACTCCCTCTTTAAAACCCGCTAGTGACTTCCCGTTACAGATAAAATAAAACTCTAGTGCCTTCCCTGATCCACGGAGCCCTCCTGGACCAGCTCCTGCTGCGTGTTGACTGCATCTCGCCCTGCCGCCCCTCACGGCCTGCTCCAGCCATTCTGGCTCTGTCCCGCTCCTCCAGAACTGTCACTTGCTATCCTTTTGCCCAGCACGCTCTGCCCTGACTCTGCTTTTCTTCAGATCTCAGCTTAACTGTTACTCGTCAGCCAGCCCATCCCTGACCACTCCATTGCAGCCCCTCTCTCACCTTCAGTCACTCTCTGTCATTGAACAGGTTTATTTCTGACATTTATTTGAACCTGAAATTATTATGTTCACTTGCTTATTTTCCACCTTCCTCTCAGTCCTTCCCCTACTCTGCTAAAATGCCGAGCTTTACAAGAGTTCAGGCACAGTCTTTTTCATCATTGTACTCCCAGCCATGGAATATGACATGTACACTAGGTGTTTGCCGAATGTTCCAGCAACTGAATGAATTAACAGGCAAGTGAACAAACAGGCTTCCTGCCCTCATAGAACTTACAGACTAGTTAAGTAAAGAGCTAAGAACTATTATCACACAAATGTATGCATAATTAATTACACATTGAGACTGGTGAACTCTTTTTTTTCCCCCTTTCAATGCTTTATTCACTCAAATTACTCAATACAATTTCACTCTATAGGTTCTTAATCAGTCCTTAATGCTAGGCACTGCAAAAGACATAACCAGTTCCCAGTAAACAATTCTAGATTAATTCTAAGCACTGCGAAACACACTTAATCAGATAGGCTAATGACAGACATTCTCTCTGCATGCTAAGTTCAAAAGTCTTAAGCCTTAGGCTTTAAGTCCAGCAGATGCACACTCACTCAGACCACAGTGACCAGGTCCGGAACCAAGGCAGGCTTCTCCTGGCATGGAGTGGATGACCAGTTGAGGAGGGGGTCGTAGGGAGAAGTTGCGGCTCTCACCAAGGTCCAGATGAGGCTTAGAGTTTGAGAGCGGTGAGGATCACTCAGAGGCTCAGGAAATGGTGACAAGTGATGGAATGTCAGGTTCTCATCAGGCTCTCCAGCTCAAGTGCACCCTTGTTTCGGCTGGCTCGAGACTGGTGTACTCTTACCTGAAAAGGAACAAAATTTGGCAGAGACAATCATGTTTTGGATTTAACAAAACTGGGACGTCCAAGCACGTGCATGGGGCAGGCCATTTGGTTTCTAAGCCTGGACCTCAAAGGATATCCTTTCCGCCACAACTGAAGATTTTTAAAAATCACAGAGTCCTCAGTTTGTAGATGTTAACTGCAGCTGTGAGCATCAATGAGAGCAGATAGAATATCTAATGAAAGAGGATGGAATGGAAAGAGGCAGATCGAGGAAGATAAGCCAGCAGATGAGGTTAAGAAAGAGTGGTCAGAGGAGGAGAACACAGGGAGCATGGTCTCAGAGGCCAGGAGAAGAGCGTATCCAGAAGCCCCATCAGTACTGCTCCAGAGCTGTTGAAACCCAGCTCTGCACGTGGCCTGCAAGGTCCCTGCAACCCTCCACCTGGCCTCCCTTCCCAGGGTTCCTCGCTCCTCACCTCCCTTTGCCCATTACTTGCCAGGCCAATCTTTTCTTCCTTGCTTGAGCCGAGTCCCCCCTTCTTGGGGGTTCTGCACTTCTTTCTGCTGCCAAAACACACCTCTGTTCAGCTCTGCTTTTATTTTCTTTGTTTTAACTTTTCTAACCTGGAGGTATCACTGCTTACCTAGGCTGGTCTCAAACTCGTAGATTTAGCCATCTTCCTGCCTCCGCCACCTGCGCAACCCGACTGCAGCCACGCCTCACCGTGCCCAGCTCTGCTCAGCTTTGTTCTACAGCCTGCTCCATCTCAGCTCAGGGGTTGTTGCCTTCTCCATAGGACCTTCCCTGAGCACCCCCTTAAAATAGAATTCTTCTCTGACGACGGCCACTTCTACCTGGAGTTTTTCTTCTTTGCTGTATTTACCATGACCCCAAATCATCTTGTTGATATACAAAGCAAGGAACTCCACAGTATCTTACTCACTACTGTGTCCCCAGCAGTTATGTCCTAAGAATTCAAGATTTATTAAATGAAAAACAGCAGTTATTAAGGAATATGTATGATAGTAATGTATTCAGTTAAAAAAGCATGAATATATTTAAATGGGAAAAGTGAATTAGAATTTACATTGAAAAGTTAGTGCTAGTTTTCTGTGAATAATGAAATTTCAGATTTGATTTTTAAATTTTGCTTCATTACATTTTCTAACTGTTCAACAGTGATCATTACTCAGATTATTTTTAAAATAAAATAATATAGGGCTGGGTGTGGTGGTGTACACCTGTAATCCCAGCTACATGGGAGGCTGAAGCAGGAGGATCAACAGTTCAAGATCAGCCTGGGAAACTTAGCAAGCCCCTGTCTCAAAAATTTTAAAAGGCTGAGGATATAGCTCAGCGGTAGAGCACCTCTGGGATCAATTCCCACTTCTGCCAAGAAAAAGAAAAGGCTTCCCACTGACCTCCCCTTTCCTTCAGCATGCCCTGCAGGCAGAAGAGGAATGTGCTACCAATGAAGCCTCGGATTTACTTTTTGTAAATAAATACATGTATCTATGTCTTTCTATTTTATCTATTCTTTTAAATAAATATATGTAACCATGCCTTCCCATACTGACTATGAAAGGTTTTAGGGTTTTTTGTTTGTTTTTTCATTTGGGTACCAGGGATCGAACTCAAGGGCGTTCAACCCCTGAGCCACATCCCCAACCCTATTTTGTATTTTATTAGAGACAGGGTCTCACTGAGTTGCTTAGCACCTTGCTAAATTGCTGAGGCTGGCTTCACTCAAGATCCTCCTGCCTCTGCCTCCCAAGTTGCTGGGATTACAGGTGTATGTCACCACACCCAGCTTATGGAAAGCTTTAGACCAGTTTGGAGTTCTGTCTTAAAAAATACAGGCATTTGGGCTGGAGATATGGCTCAAGTAGTAGTGCGCTCGCCTGGCATGCATGAGGCACTGGGTTCGATCCTCAGTACCACATAAAAATAAAATAAAGATATTGTGTCCACCTAAAAGCTAAAAAAAAAAGTAAATATTTTTTAAAAAATAGAGGCAGGGGGGCTGGGGTTGTGGCTCAGTGGTGGCACACTTGCCTGGCATGTGTGAGGCCCTGGGTTTGAATCCCAGCACCACATATAAATAAAGGTTCATCAACAACTTAAAAAAAAAAATGTTTACCAACCAAAATAGTGATTGTTAACACTTGATCTTTTCCTTTCAGGCTAAGCTACTATTTTCAGATGGAGAAAAAGTAATACCTAGATTGACCCATGAGCTTCCAGGAATAAAGGTTAGAGGCACTGTGTCTGAGGGTATTGGAGGGGAAAATAAATCGGGCTGGGAGGCAGAGGAAGTATGTAGGCTCAGAAGTTTCCTGCACCACCCATTGGTAGGGTCCAGGTCAAAGAGTACCTGAATGGGCTGCAGGGGCCTGGGTCGGCGGCAGCCAGAGGACTACAGGCCAGGGAATCTGTCTTCTACACCCCAGAAGACCCACAGCTCCCACACGGCCTTCCACTGATTCCCTTCCCTTTTCTTCCAGCGTGCCCGGCAGGCAGAGGAAGAATGTACCCATCGAGGAAGCCCCGTTCCCAAAAAGGTAAGCCATTTTCTAGCTGGGAGAGGGTACTTCCTCCTGTACTCTAGGCTGTTCTAGGGACCGGAGGCCGAACCCTAGAAACAGTCACACTGTTTCACTCCCAAGCATCATTTGCACTCTCTGGAAAACTGCCTTCACCAGGGGACCCTGGATATGCTGTTAGGGCGGGGTGGGAGATTGGTGGGGAGTGTTCCCCAGGGTCAGGGCTCTGACAACTGTTCTTTGTGGCAGAGGAAAGGACGGCCTCCTGGACACATTCTGTCAAATGACCGGGCAGCAGCCGGCATGGTGTGAGTAGAGGCCGCCAGTGTGGTGAGAGCTGAAGGGAGCAGAGGGACAGTTGTGGTCTCGGAGGGAAGGAGGCCACAGTTCTGTGCCTGTGAAATCAGACCTACCTGCTTAATCCCATAGAGGAGTGTTTCCCTGGTCTAGGAATAAGGAGGTGCGCAGTGAGAATTTTATCCTGGTTTTGCCTCAGAACAGTTCAGCCCAGCTTGAAACACGGTCATTTTCATTGTGGTGTATATCAAAAGCTTGTGGTTGGCCTAAGATACCTTTTGGACTTCCCTTTTTAATCCTTACAGCCACCCCCTTAAAGAAGGTATAATTCATTTAGCAGACAAAGAAAAAGAGAAGAAAACAAGAGGAAAAAAAGAGAAAGACTCAGAGAATTACTTGCCCAAGGTCATACTGTTAGTAAGGGAAAACTATACCACACTGTCTATGGAATGAACCTTTGCAAAGTTTTGTTTGTTTGTTTCACATTCATAGGAATTTTGAACCCAGAGCTTCACACATGCTGGACAAACACTTTGCCACTGAGCTACATCCCCATTTTTTTTTTTTTTAAGAGCACTTTTAGGTTCATTACAAACAGTGGAAGATAAAGAAGTATTCCATATACTCCCTGCTTCCCCATTTGCACAGCCTCCCCGTTATCAACCTCTGGCACCCACATGGTACATTGGTTACAATTGAGGAATCTACTTTGACGTTACACCAGAGTCCACAGTGTACATTAACACTCACTCGTAGTGTTGTTCATCTGTGAGTTTGTACAAGTGACAGGTATCCACTGTTATAGTATCACACAGAGAATTTTCACCAACTAAAAGTCCTCTGTGCTCTACCTGTTCATCCCTTCCCACCCCTGAGGTTTAAAGAGTTTTGAAGCAGCAGAATCTTTTTTTCAAACACAACTTCATGGAAACTCAGTATATGAAGCAGATAAAGTCATTCTTCTGGTAAAGGGGAATAAGGATAGTTTGAAACCACTGACATAGGAGAGAGAATAGCATTAATTGCCATCCCTTAGATTTGTCTCCTCCTGGGTCAGTTTGGTTCCTCATGAACACAAAATGGGTAGGGCAAGGGCTGGGGGTGTGACTCATGGATAGAGCACTTGCCTAGCACGTGTGAGGCCCTGGGTTCACTCACTCCCCAGATGGCACAAACAAAAACAAAAACAGGTCAGCTGCTGCTGTTATCTCCTGCAGACAGATGAGAAAGCTGCAAGTTCCTGGACTTGCCCTCCTGCCCAGTCATATCAGAGCCAGGGCTGAAGGGAGACTGTATGAGGCCCTACTACCATTAGCAACCTTCCTTCCAGTCTTGGCCCACCTTGGAGAATTCACCTTTCTTCTTTTCCTTTCAAGCAGATGGAAGCCAAAATCCTCTGAACCGATTCGCCGGGAAGGCCCCAAGGTATAATTTTGTAAGCATGTTATGTGAGCATGGCAGTGACCAGTATCCCAGAGAGACTCAGCCAAGGCTCTGGGGACCCAGTGAGGGAAAGGGGCATGGGTGGTATAGGATGTGTTCACACATTCCACAGCCATGTTCCCTTCTCTACCTCCAGCAACCTGGTCCTCCTGAGAAGATCCCATGTGAAAATTGGAATGAGACACAAAATAAAGAAAAGGCCAGGCTGGGACTGTAGCTTAGTGGTAGAGCACTTCCCTAGCACACGCAGGCCTTGAGCTCCATCCCCAGGGCTGCCAAAAAAGAACAAAATTCTATAACAAAGAGGAGCAGGAGTCCCTTATTCCACAAGTTCACGAGTGGTCTGATACTTTGCTCATTACCTAATATTGACAGGCACTGCCTAAATCTTTGTTTGACTTATCTCATTTAATCTTTATATCAAATTTATGAGATAGGTTCTATTATCATTTTGTAGTGAGGAACTTCCTTTCCTGCCAACTCCCCTACAGGTAAAAATTATCTTCTCAGTTATCTTATGCTCTTAGTACACTTGAGTTTTGCCCAAATCATACAGCTAGCGAGAAAGAGCCAAGTCTCAGGCCCAAAGTCTGTTGACACCACTAGCCTCTGCTGTTTCCCAAACAGTTGTTTACAAGCTTTTTTAAGGATTGAATCCTTTATTTCAATAAAGTAATTGCTGGAAGCCCAGTAAAATAGATAAAAGTACCGCAGTCTTCATCGGAGCTGTGTCTGGAAGACACTGGCCTCCTCTTCCCCCGGTCCTCTCTGCTCTCCCGCTGGTTGTCAGGCCTGCCTTCTAAACTCTGCTTACTCCCTTAAAGCTGGTGGCCGTGAGCTCTCCCAGATCTTTCTGTTCTCTCCAAATTTCCCTCTGTCTTGGTGAGTTCTTCCTCGGCAGTGGCCCTTGGTTGTCCCCAGAATACTCCCCTTGGCCCACTTCACCTAAAGCTTTTCGGCGAATGATCTAAATCATCCACTCTGTGGTTTCAGGGACCACCATCTGCTAAACTCCCCAGTCTCTTGGGGTATCACAAACCTTTCTTCTTTAAAATCTGTATATCCTCCTGTCTGCTAGACCTTTCTGCCTGCAAGTTCCATAGGCATTTCAAAAGCAGCATATCTAGGGCTGGGTTGTGGCTCAGCAGTAGAGCGTTCACCTAGCACATGTGAGGCCCTGGGTTCAATCCTCAGCACCACATAGAAATAAATAAATATAAATAAATAAATAAAGGTTGTTGTGTCCAACTACAATGAAAACATAAATATTTTTTTAAAAAGCATCATATCCAAAATTGAACTTGGAATCTTTCCTCACTGACCCTCCCTTACATTGCTGCCCTCAGTCATCGTCCCTGTTCTTTTCCACCGCCTCCCTACATCCACTCAAGTGCTGAATGACTCCACCTTCTGAGTACATTCAGTCCCTATTACTTCTTCCTCCTCCTGACTGCTGCCTACCTCAGCCCTAGTCTTGCTTCAGTTCTGCTTGATCACAGCAGCCTCTAAACTGCTCTCCCTGCCTGTCACCATGCCCCTAAACCCATCATCCACACTGCTGGAAGGTGAGCTATTTTTGAAGCATGGCTGATTCTTATATGTTCAGAGGCCTTCAACAAGTCCCCAGTGCCTGAATAAAGAAAAGGACAAACCCTTAAAGGTGGCTTCCTGTGACCTCCAGCTCCTCCGTGTCGCTCTCTCCCGCCTCAGCAGTTCTGCTCCCTGGCTGGCTTTCTCCTTTAGCAACACAGAATTGCTCGTGGCTTCTCCAGCATGCCAAGAGCTCCCATCTGCCTCTACACATGCTGCCCTCTGTCTGGAAATGCCCGTCTCCTCCCCTCTACCCTGTCCAGCTCATGCTCACCTTTAAGAATTAACTTGAGGACTAGCTCTTCGAGGAAGACTTCCTGACTGACCATCTGCTTTGGCACCACTCACAGCCAGCATTCAGCCTTGTCATTGCCCCATCACATAGTGGCCTGATTATTTGTATCTATGTCTGTTTCTTATTCATCTCTTTATTTCCACCATCTAACACAGGGCCTAGTATATTAAAAGTACTTCATTTCCTAGTAAACTATTGAACGAGGGATAAAGACAATGGTGAGAAGTGGTGGGGACAGGAGTGTTTCTGTCCTGCTCACCACATTAACCCCACCCTCACCAGCCTCTCTTTTTTATACAGTGGGACCCAGCTCGGCTGAATGAAACTACCACCTTTGTGTTGGGCTCTCGAGCCAACAAGTGAGTCTAAGAGCTTTGGTGCTAATGGAGGGGCAACTCGGGGCTCAACTACTAGAGGCTCTGCCTGATGGAATCCTTACCACTCATCTTTTACTTTCAGGGCCCTAGGGATGGGGGGCACCAGAGGGAGAATCTACATCAAACACCCACATCTCTTTAAGGTAGGTGAGTGCTGGGATGTCGGCAGGCCATTGCATTGGGAGCAGATGGCATTGGGACTTGTACATAGCACAGACAAGCTTGGAACACACACTGATGTGGGAGTCCAGACATCTGGGTTCTGGTTACTCCTTCCTCATTCACTTTTTTACCTCTTGTGATTTACTCAGACTACTTTGCCTCAGTGATCACAGCTGCTTTCCTTGCATGATGATTGTGTGCCAAACACGGTTTTAAAAGCCACACTTACATGATGTCATGGAACGCTCCTTTAAGATAGGTATTGTAGCCAGGCGTGGTGATACATGCATGTAATCCCAGCAACACAGGAGGCTGGGGCAGGAAGAGCACAATCAGACGCCAGCCTCAACAGCTTAGCAAGACCCTGACTCAAAATAAAAAGGACTAGTGATGTAGCTCAGTGGTGCAACACCCTGGGTTCAGTCTCCAGTACAAAAAATATATATATATGTGTGTGTGTGTGTGTGTGTGTATATATATATATATATATGATGGCATTAGCCAGGTGTGGTGATGTGAACCTATAATCCTAGACAAAGGAGGCTGAGGAGGGGGAACTGCTTAAGCCCGGGAATTTTGAGGCCAGCCTGGACAACACAGGGAGATCTGCCTCAAGGAAGAAAAAAAAGTATTGTTATATTTATCCAAAGGTGAAAAAAGTAGATGTCAGGAAGGCTAAGTGACTTTGCCAGAGTTACTCAGCTGGTAAGTAATGAGTCGGGATCAAATCCAGGACTGCCTTCACCAGAGCCGAGCGCCCAGCCCCTGTATCCAGTTGTCTGTGAAATAAAGCAGCTGGAGCAAGGCAGGCTCCCCTCTTCAGAAGAGATGACTCTTCCCTGGAGAGCAGCTTGCTGTGGTTTCCACTGTTTGAGAAAATAATAGGGGAGATCTTAAGTTAATCCACTCTTAGATGGATTTATATTTAATCAATTACAAAACATCCACATAGATTAAAATATAGTACTGCAGCCGGGCACAGTGGCACACACCTGTAATCCCAGTGGTTCAGGAGGCTGAGGCAGGAAGATCACAAGTTCAAAGTCAGCCTCAAAAACTTATTGAGGCCCTAAGCAACTCAGCAAGACCCTGTCTCTAAAATACAACAAAGGGCTGGGGATGTGGCTCAGTGCTTAGGTACCCCTGAGTTCATTCCTCGGTTCCAAAAAAAAAAAATAGTACTGCATATGTGTTCCAGACAGTTTTTGCACCTATACATAAGGCTTGCTGCTCCTTGCCAGAACTGTGTAGCCCCTTTGGGGTCCCAGATCTGCCTGCCACACGCTGTGCAGCTCTTTGAGTGCTTTGAGGGGCAGAACTGCTGGCTGTTTCCCAGCATTCTGACCCAGGACTTCCAACACACAGAAGTAGCCTACTTGCTACTTCTTTATTTTCCTTAGTGTCTTTACTTCTGCTGTTCCCTTTACCCAGAAGACCTTTCTCCTCCACTTTATCTTCCTGTTATTTAACATCTGCCTCCCCCAAGAACCCTACTTGTGTCCTCCCCTAGATGGATATTCTCTGGGACTTGCTGTGAATTCCCATCAACGTGGTTAAGAGTATGATTTCAATCCGGGTTCTATACTTACCAGCTCAGCCATGTGACCTTAAGCAAATGGCTCCACATTTCTGAGTCTGTTTTGTCATATACAAAATGTAAAATGAGAATGATGATAGACCAACCTCTTGGGGTTAATTAAGAGAGAATGTAGTAAAGCACCCAGCATAATCCTGTCACATAGAAAGGGACTCAGCAAGTGTTAATCATTTATATTAGCATAGTTCCCCAATTCTAAGATCTATTTTCTGTAATAAGCCCCCAACCCCCTTTCACTTTACAGTGGGTGTTACCTCTTTTTTTTTATTTTTTCATTCTAATAAATGAAGGGAAACTTTTTATTGTTTTCCTTCACAGTTCTCTGTTAGTGATCATAAGCATCTTTTTAGTCATTTACAATCTATTTGTATTTGTTCTGTAAACTGCTTAGTACATTTTGGCCCATTTTTCCATCCTTCAAAAGACATTATTTGAATTCTTCATTTCCTCTTTTAAACTTTGTAATCACAGAGATATAAATTCATTCTTCTCATTAAAAGATTCAAGCAATACACAGGAGGTAATAGGGAATAAGACACAAGTGCCCCTCACTCCTGACTCTGTCTTCCCTCCCTGAGGTCACCAGCAACCACAGTGGTACATATCCTTCTCTGCGAGCATGTGCCTAGAGTGTGTGTGCAGGCATAGTGTGCATGCCTGTGTTCTTGTCCTTTACTGATATTTTACTTATTCAGATGATACTTTACATAGTTGTCTCAGGTTTTATTTTGTTCACCCAAAAATTGATTCTATGTTTTGAGAAAGGAAGCGTGTGAGGATTCGGAGTATATTATTAAATCTCTGGGATTAGTTCACAATCCCTGGCTGCCTGGGCTTACTCTGGAGATTAGTGAGGCCTCTTTATGTACATGCTAGACAAGGTCTTGTGGTAAGAACTGCTCAGGGGCCAGGAGGAAAGCCCTTCACACGAGGCTAATGTCTCCTCCTGTAACTTCATCCCTCACAGTATGCAGCTGACCCCCAGGACAAGCACTGGCTGGCTGAGCAGCATCACATGCGGGCAACAGGCGGGAAGATGGTAAGTCTTGTTCACTCACATACTGCTCAAGGCCCACCCTGCACAAGGACCAGGATTCTGGCTATTGGTGACAGCTTACCTTCAAAGTCTGAAAGATTTCCTAAACCTTAAGGATGTGGCAAGGGACATACAAGGCCCATTGCTTTGTGCTCAAGAGCAGACCGTAATCCCTGTGTTCCCTTCCCTATCGGTAGTGTTCTTTAGCTCCTCACTTTCCCTCCCACCCATTTCCAAGACCACTTTTTTTGGATCGAATTAGTTGTGCATAGGAATGGGCAGTTTAATACTTCATAGTACTTTTCCCTTGCCTGCCCATGGGTGGATTTAACTCACTGATCACCACAGTCTTCTTCTAAACAGCTCTAGAATCTTCTCAACACAGTACTCCAGGCAACACTCGTTGTCAGTAGGAGTTTGCACATGCAATGAAATGTGTGCCATGCCCGGCAGCCCCTTCCAGGCTCGGTTCCATTCTAAGAGTTCTCGGTTAAATCGAGCAGTAACCTTAGGAAAGCTGTTGTGGTATATATCCTAAAATAATTTGTAGGGCTTTGCCCATCACATGCAATGTCACCTGATGACTCAGTCCCTCTACTGGGACCGCTCCTGATAGAATCTAAAGGCCTTGTAAACTGGTGTGCCATCTCCTTTCTGACAATGAAAGCTACTTTTATTTTATTGTATACTGTGCCCACACTT